CGCCCGCGCCGCGCCGCGCCGCCTCCCTCCCGCCGCCGCCGCCGCCGCCGCCGCCGCCGTGCTCGCGCTCGCGCTCGCGCCCGCGCTCGCCGCCGCTGCTGCTGGTGTTGCCGCCTGAGGAGGCTGTGGGGGAGTCGCCCGCGGGGGTGCCGCTGGCGGCGGCGCCGCCGGACTCGGAGCGCTGAATTTGGGCAGTGGCAGCGGCAGGGGCAGGGGCGGCGCGTAAGAGGGGGGTTCACAAGCCCGTGATAGAGTCAACGGCCGCAAAACTGGCCTCAGAAAAGAGGAGGCAGGTGCCACGCGTGCGCTTCGCCGAGCCGCAGACGCTGCCATCGCCACGGCCGCAGGTGTTGCGCCCCCCTCTCCCCGCCCTCCCTCCCCAAAAACCAGAACGCACCCCTGCTGCGTGCAGGTGCGGCGCCATCAGAAGCTTGTTCACCGGCCGCCCGGCGTCCTGCTGCTGCTGCTGTTGCTGCTGCTGGTCGTCCCTGCCCCGCACGCGGGCGCCCTGGCCGGCCCCGGGCGCGCGCGGCTGCGCCGCAACCAGATCCATCGACAGCAGGGCGAGCTCCCGGCTGGCGCGCTTCCGCCCCGCCAGCTTGGCGGCCCCGGCCCCGCCGGGCGGCGGCCCCTGGTGCTGCTGCGGCTCCTCCCGGGGGTGCGGCCGGCGGCGCGTCCCGCGCCCGCCGCCACCGCCGCCGCCGGTGCCGCTGTCGTCGTCCGAGGCGCTTTCGGACCCTGACCAGCCGGCGTCGTCCCCCTCCCCCTCATCCTCATCCTCCTCGTCCTCATCCCCGCTGCCACTCGTCGTGCCCCCGCCGCCGCCGCCCCGCCGCCGCCTGCCCGCCCGCAGCCGCCCGCCGGGCGAGCCGGGCGGCGGGTGCGGCAGCTGCTGGCTGCCGCGGCGCGAGAGGCGCGACACGTTTGCGTTCAGCTCCTCATGAAGGCGCCGCGCGATCTCCTCATCCGTTGTGAGAGGCGGCCCGGCATGCTCTAGGCGCCGCTTTTTGACATCGGGCTCCAAACCCATTGCCGAGGCCCTGCGCGGCGCTGCCCTCACGCCGCCGCAGCTCGCCCAGCGCGGCGCGGCCGCTGTATTCGTCCATTTGCATGCGTGTGCATGTGCGGGCGTGCATGCGCGGGAGGGGCGTGGGTCGGTGGGGGGCGGGCGGGCGCCGCGAGGCATGCGCGAGGCAGCACGCGCCTGCGCGGGGCGCTCGCCTTTGGCACCGCAACTGCCACCACGCTAGAAGAAGAATACATCACGGATCTATCATAACATGGGTGCGAGGTCACGCTGCCGTGTTGCTTGTGCACGACGCCAGAGCCCTTTCCAAGCATCAAACACACCCGACCATGGTCCCTAGTGAAGCACCTAGGTGCCGACCACTGCCACATGCAACCAGAGAATGCTCACCTCCGTGATTCAACGCGCGGAACTCCCCTTCACTGCGCCATGGTCCAGCTCCTAGACCCAGACCGCTGACAAGCAAGAGGGGCGAACATGACAGGTATTCTTATGCGTCTTGATCAGATGATGTCTGTGAAGATGTTGTCGATGGGCCTGATTGGCGAAGGTGCCTGCGCGCGGCAAGAATAAAAAAGATGTAGACTGCACCGAGTTGCTCAGGCTGGCACCGGATTAACGAGTCTTATTTCCAAGCGGATCCGACTGTGTAGGGCTTGGCGCCCTTCAGCGCAGATCACATGTCGTAACCCGGCACGCGCGCGTGGCGCCGCA